TATGGTATGATCTTACTGTAAGATTGGTATATAGAGTTATGATTGTCCTAATTTGAGATACATAGAATCTCTTATTTTTTCAAAAAGAATTATATTCGAGCTAAATTAGCTCCCTTAGGGAAATGATTATACTCTATCATTTTGATATGTTTCAAAATATTTTTTTAGAGTTATGTGAGATTTTAAATTGAGTGAATGCCACGTCTATACACTAAGATATGATATTTATAAGTTTAAATAATCCCAACCAAGTTTCAGTAGAACAAAATAGGTGTTATAGTTAAATTAAGAGATAGTTTAACCTCCAAATGATTTGATTTTAAGTTAAAATTTAGTGTGTATTTAGTTTTATATGTCATGTAGTCTTTTACAAAATTTCATTATAGTTCAATATCGTTTGGTTAGCCAGAATAGTAAAGCAATTTTTTTTTTATGAAATTATGCTATGATTTGATTAATACTAACTAGTTCAAAGTGAATTGTTAGAAATTTCATAGTGAAATTTAGATAAATTTTCAGGTTGAGTATGGTCTATTTTATATAAGATTATATCAAACTTTTTTTTATGAATTATTATTATAAATTAATAATTCAAGATATATGGTTCTTAATTAAGATATCTTATCATCTTATGCTTCCAATTTGATATATGTATTGCTCCCTAGCATACTCAATCATTAAAGAACATGGTCTTTCATTTGTATCTTTATTTTTTAGTTCAATTAGAAAAATATAAGTTTAATTCGTTATAAAATAGTAATAATATAAATTATCGTATGTATAATATTTTTTGGAAAACATGTTTCGAGTAATATCATCGTTATAAAGCTAAATGTGAATGTATATATTTTGTAAGCATAATTATATATGAATTGTAATAAAAATATATTGCGTGCATGTATATAACGAACAGTGTGAGAGAATATGTGTTTTCTATGATGTGCAGTGTGATAGTATACAGATATATTATGACATTTAGTATAGAAATTTACATATATATTATGACGTGCGGTATAGAAGTGTACGTATATATTATAACATACGGTATGAGAATTCGCATATGTATTACGATAACGTACAGTATGAGAATGCATGTATATATTATGATTTGGGGTATAAAAGTTCATGAAATTGTTATATTTCCTATATGTGCATATAAGTATTTGAATTATTTCGACATAAAATTTTATCTTTAGATACTATGTTATAGGGTTATGCTTGCTAAAGAAGCCATAGGATGAGATGTTTATCATCAAATATCTTATGCATATAATTTTAAAATGATGTATACATGACATGATGTATGTTCACCTGAATAAAAACGTATGCTTAGTGAGTAATTATTCACTATAAATCATATTTTATAAATAAGGATATTAGTATCCTACCCAAGTAATTGGGTAGAGAAGTGAGGATATGCAAGCCTATGCTAACGTAGTTATGGACGATAATCTATGGACATTTTATGTATATAACTTTTGGATGTATTATGTTTATATTTTTCTTTTGGTTAGAGTCTAAATACTGTATATAGAAGAAACCTTACAATTTTGTTTAATATGTTAGCATATTTTAATTTTAAGATTATATACTTTTCATTGCACTCCTATAATAAAAATTTAAAATGTGATATCATGTTTTAGAGTATGGATGTAATTTGATACCTTGTGACTAATAGTCTAATACCATGTATTGTTATTCTTTATATGATATAAGTCACATTTATGATCATTTCTTTAAGATTCTCGAACTCTAACACATTTAATTTTATTTAATTTTAAAGGATTCTACACTTATTATCGCTCTATAATAAAAAACTAACTTAAGTATCGAAGGAAGTTTATTGAATGCACTCTTAATATAGTTTTGTATAGTTCAATGCTTTATAATTAGAGAGGATTCGACTATTCTCAATATTAGAGAGAAGCATGGAATAAGATCTCGATTAAAATTGATATGAATATGTTAAAAATCATTTATTATTTATAATCACGAGTGATTTTCTTTAATTTTTTGATGGATAAATAGTGACAAGAGAGGCATATCGGTCGCAATATTTAGAGAAATATTTTATATTGTTTCAATAGTATATATACAAATGTTTAAAAATAATGACTGATTTATCCCAAAAAAATTTACTTTATAAGCTTTTTACGTGGGCACTCCACTCTTAGAATATTATTCTTTTTAAGAATATTATTTTATGTCTACTTGATGTAGAATTCATTTTTATTGTTGAAATGAAACAGTTAAAAATGAATTGAATTTGTGATTGGAATTGGAAAACGAATATATTTTTAACATGGGCTCTTAGTAGACCCAAAATTAATATGGAAACTTCACTACGAATCACTTATTATATTACAATACCTTAACATATCTATATATTTCCTACAAACATACATGTAAACTCGATTTCCTTATTTTTCCCTCCTTTATACATTAGTTTTCTTGGTCGTCGTCATTAATCCACACTTAGACATCCAAGAAACCGGGCCTCTTCAACCATCAAGCTCCGAAGCAACCTGCGAAGTGGGGAAGATGGTGGTGGTGATGGTGATGGTGATGGTGATGGTGATGGTTGTGGTGGTGGTGATGGTGGCCAGCGCCGCCGCCTATCTCGCGGTCGATGGCGTCCTGAACGTGGCGGAAGTGCTCAATGCCGCAGGGGATGGCGATGGGCCCCGCCTGGTTGAATCCGTACTCCGCCGCCGCCTCGTCCAGAAGCTCCGCGAAGAGCGGGTGGCTGAGGTGCGCCACCGGCACCACGAACCGCTGCTGCTCCTCGCCTTCCGGTCCCACCCGGACCGCCATGCACCCCCTGGGCGGCGCCCCCGCCTCGGTCGCCGCCTTCTCCTTCCTCTCGTGGTGGTGGGCCATGCCAAGCTGCAGAAAGCTCATCGATCGACGGTGGTCTGCTTGGTGGTGGCAACTGTTCCCCTTCCTCTTCTCTTCTTCTCCTCCTCCTGCTTCAATCCTCGTACAAAGAAAGAGAGAGAGCGTTTTCTTCTGATCCAAGGATTAAGTAGGCAACTATCGATCCAAATCTAAATCGAGCAGGCTTAGGACGGTAATGGACGGACATATATATAGGAGGAGAGAGGCGGTGTGGCTTTTTGTGCGGTTTTGGCGTTGAGGAACGCTTTCCTTACCGGCTAATCAAGTCGACGCTCGTTTCTTCTACGACTTCTCTGTCTTCTCCGATCTGATCGCCGCGCGTCTCCTCTCACAGCCCGACGCATCTCCATCTTCTTCTTGGTTGACCAAAGACTTGAGATCATTGACTGACCACCCAGTCGCGTACTCGCGTGCCGACTCGTGACGGCCACGGGACCCACGCGGAACACGATGGAGATAGCATGTGCAGCTCGTGTGGTAGGGTCGCTGAGTACCGGTCCAACACGTTTGGTTTTGACGGTCGCGGGACCCACTCGGAAGGTAGAACGGATCGGCCGACGACGTGAATAACGTGTGGTAATATACTCGAACTTAAATCGTTAATACTTCTTCAAACCTGCTAATAATAATGACTAATAGTGATTAATCAGAATTTATTGGACGGATTATAACGGGTATAGATATGTCGTCATCATTACATCGATACATAGTGATGGGCATAAATGTAATTGCACGAACAATTTAGACGAACACACAGTTCACATGGGAATGCATCTTCTGACGTCCTCAGGCACCCACCTCGACTTCAAGCTTCTTCTTCTCCTCCTGCCCCTCCGCCTCGTCGACGAAGGCCGAGATGGGGAACGACCTCCCGATCCCCACCGCCGACTTGAAGTATATCTTCGCGGCATCGGCGTCGGTGATGCTCATCTCAGTGATGGGCACCCACAGCAGCACCTGCTTGCTCCTCACCCCCGTCATCTTCTTCATCTTCTTCATCTCCACGTACGCCGTCACCACCCTGTCGTACCTCACCCGAGTGTTGGTTCCGGTGAAGAAGTGCTCGTACGGCTCCTTCTGCTTCATCCACACGAAGCCCGTCGCCTGCACCCACCCGCACTCTTCGAGGTTCCTCAGCGGGAGGACTCCTTTCGGGAAGCCGACCGCCTCCAGCATCTTTACGGAGTGGCTGTAGCATTCTTCCGCGCCGTAGATGATCTCGGCGCCTTCCCTGTCCTCGTTGCTGATGACGAGGGAGCCCATGGCTAATGCAAGTTTTGGGATGCAAGCCTTGTCTTAGAGAGCTGTCATTTATACAAGCAGTTTGCGAGCAAGGGAAGGTGGAAGGTGGGGAAGTTGAGCTAATAGGAACAGTTAGGTCATCTAAGATGTGTCAAGGTGGGTAAAAGGAAGTAGAGATCGCCACCTAATTTATATTCATCTAACAAATAGACTATGATTTCCATGAACTTGTTTGGTAATTACTTGGAATATTAGGAAGTCATCAAGAACCCTTTTAACATATCCTTCCACGTTCATCGATTTGCTCATATGTTGAAGCTGCACAAGAACAAAGCAAGTAATTGAATTGGCAACTTCATTAGTTCATCATTGGCAACCAGCCAACAGAGGATGGTGTTTGAGGACTGCTGGATCTATGAAGATGAGCAAACCTAAAATCTTGCGAGTACTTGACAAGGTCACAAGGATTGGTATCAGCAGATGTCTCAAGACAGCATTACTTTGAGTGACTGCAGAGACTGCATGTAAGCTATGAAATACTAACTTCTTTTACAAGTTGATGCATCTAATGAATCTTTACAACCATAATATAAGACTAAAAATTCCCAGAAATCATATTTGGGAAGCAGCAAAGGGGTGCTCAATAACATTCTCAAGAGCATTAGTCAAATTCTTGGGTTAAATATGATGGCTACAAAAAAAGGAAGGTTTCCCAGCAACATAGCATGAGTAAGAATAAAACTTCCAGCCAGAAATCACATGATAGCCAGTAAATCTGAGATTTCAAACAACAGCCATGCAGCAGTACACAATCAAGCACCAAAAAATTGTCAATGGACTATCAGCAGCTTTGGCAGATATCTCACCAACACAAGAAAATCACATTTCCATCAGAAAGAACCAAGTTGATGCAAATTTTAACCAACAAGCGTGAGAAGGAAATCACTGCATCACAGTAAGTAGCAATACATCATAGTTCAATAATTTCCAAGTCTTTAAATTGACTAATGTAGCGAATTTTGTAGAGGACGAATAATTATGACAGAATGCTTAATCTGCTTTGGTGAAGTGCCGGACAGCAAAGGCTAAGCCCAAAATCATTATGGGCACAAGGAACTGCAAAATTCTGATTACAAACTCTGAAGTTTTATCTGGATTGTAGGATGCTTGCTGAGGTGGTATGTAGGTGCGCGTTGTTGGAACTGTTGAAAGATCTACCTGCCCAATGTAGTACTTGGCCATCATATCCCTGGCAGAATTACTATGACCTATATCCTCGAAATCATTGGTGGCATCTTTTCCTGCAGAGAGATTCAGAAGAGAATTTTACTATACTTTGTAAACATAAAAGAACATAAACTTCTGAATTTTGACTGGTCTGATTATGATTCCTTTCGAGTAAAGCAGAGAAAGCATCCAACAAAAATCGTAATCACAAGGGGCAGCAAGTTACAATACAAGGCAAGGGTCAAAAAGAAAAGGAAAAAGATTGAATTCTTACCGGTTACTGCTAGCAAAACCTCATCGCCACCAGGATGCTCATCCAAAAATGGGGTGACATCATAAACCTGAAACGATCAATCATTCACTGGCATTAGTCAGCAGTGAAAGAAAATGTGGTGAACATGTTTAGTGACAGCAATATGTGTTAAGCATGAGCACACAGGATTTTCACATAGAACCTCTTCGATGAGTAATAAAGCTAGAAGATAGCATAGATTATCAAACCAAGTATTACAGCTGATTCAGAAATTAAGTCAATAACACCCAGCTAAGTGCACAGGATCCTAGTCCAAAAAGTATTGGCAGTTTAACGACTATTTAAATTCTGGAATTGGTTGTGATATTTGAATGTGCCTAAACATATCATCCTTTGATCACAAGGGATGCCTTAAATGGCTAAATATTTATTTAAAGAATAAAAAGGAGAAGGAAGAGGTTAAGGATACATATCATTACCATTATTCCATAATTTTTATAGTTTCTGAAGCCAGCCAGCTAGCTCGTGCATTACAGGTTTCACTAATACGAGACCAATTAAACTTATGCCTAAATCTATCAGGTTCAGGTTTTCATTTATGTTATATGCTATAAGGATACAATTCGAGATAACCCTTCAACCCATATGATACATGCTTCCCTCAAAAAAATTGGTAAAGAAATAACATCATTTAGAATGAAATCTAGACAATCATAAACAATCACAATTAATTGATTAGAACTGCTAAATGCGAATAACTGTTGAAAGCTATACGATTTACTAAGCCATAAAAAAGTAACTCCAGAAAGTCTAGCTGTAGAGAATATTTGGTAGGACTATGTTACCAGAGATTATTAACATGCTATAAAATAAACCTGAAAAGAATTAGAAACTTGGAAAGATCATATGGGTGCACAACACATTTGGTTGGAGGAATATCTGGCCAGAGACTAATGAAGTCTTAGTCAAGAGTGCATCTTGCCTACTTCTAGTCTCTTGCAAATTGAAGGGTCTTAATTGAAGCCAAGGCTACTCATGATTAAACTGACTACCATATATGTATCTTTTTTTCACAAAGGAAGTGGTTGGTTTTGCCATCAAAACCCTTAATAGTTTATAGCATGGGAAGATCCTTTAATATTTGACTTAAAAGGGATCATTTATTATAAACCCATATAAAATCAGGAACTAACATCCTTTGCCTATTGTTCTATATGCAGTTGGGTGTAACGTGAGGCCTTCATATCAAAATCAAATCTTTTGCTAAGTGCCCCAGATTCATACTGGTGAATAATTAATATTAACGGCAGCAAAGGTTACTGCGAACATTCCAAACCCTATTTGGGTGTCACGCAGCATAATCTTTATTAGCTAATAGGCAAATCATGTGTTCTTTCTACAACCAACTCTCCAAGAATCAACAATCCGAACCCTGTGAAATAAAGAACTCTTTTTCCCACCAAAATTTCCCCTTTCTCACAGATCTCAACTGAGCGACCTTCAAAATAAAGAGTACTTAATAGTTCTTGCCAGAAATTTCTAACGCTGACAAATCCATCAAAATCAACTAATCGAACACACACACACACAGAATTGGTAGAAGAAAAAGGTAGGACCTTTCCGGAGATGATGAGCCAACAGTCTTTGGCGACGTTATGCTTGGAGACCTCATCGAAGCGATACACCTTGGAATCGGCCATTTCCTTGATGCAAATCTGCAAAGCAAGGAACGAATTGCAGGTCACAAACCATGCAAAAGAGGATTAATAGAGCGACAGAGAGCTGGAAAGCCTCTCACCTACTCCCAGGCTGTAGTCCGCTATGGCTGCTGCGGCTGCGCTGTGAACTCCGCCATCTCCACGGAGTCGATTTATCATCGCCAAATGACGTATATGTCATCATCCTTCTCGCAAATTACGGAAATATCCATCAGTCGGCACTTCGAAGGGCAAAACCTTTCCTATTTATTGACTCGTTACCCGCGAGTTACCTGCTTTCTAAATGGCGGTTGGGTCCGATCGACCATACGGGGTCCACATAATTCAATTTATAGTCACTAATGCAGGTAGACATTGGGTTCAATTCTTTTTGAATTTGCTGTAGCTTACTATTCATCTATTTTTTTTTACAATTGATAATACTATCCATAGTCCTTTTTTTCACTAGTAATTTATTATTATTATTATTGATAATTTAAAAAATAATAAAATATATATTTTTTATTTATAATCTTAATATTATCGATTTATTTTTTTTCTTAATAATCTCTTATTTCATCCTTTGTCAATGTCGTTTTAGTTACCATCGATATTACAATATTGCTCATTTTTAAGATCAATTGTCATCATCATCATTTGTCGTGAATGCTATATGACCTCCTCGACTACCAGGAGGAGGATATTTATAATAAATAATTTAAAAATATTTATATAAGATTATAAATAATTTTTTTATTAATTTAAAATAAAAAAATTAAATTATCCCATTATCTTAGGTAGAGATATCCCTACTTACATTGACACTTCTCCGACCTCTTACTTACCTTCAAAAGCATTGAAATAGTTGGAGATTAAATCGTTTGAGTCCTAATATTAAAATACATTCAATTCAAGAATGAAGAAATTTATAATAGTTATTATTCTATTATTTTTTACATCGACAATACATTACGCTTAAAAAAAATCATTAGGCATATGGTTCAATTAGTTCCTTCATTAGTTCAATCAATAACTTAGTGATCGAGACTTGACCGGATAGAACAATGATATAACTTTGTTTGGAACACTGTTAGGGGCAATTTTCTTATATTTTCATGACAACCTTCCAATAAAAGAAACGAAGTGTTATGTATTAGGAAATTGCAGCCAAAGAAAGAAAGTCAGATTCCTCACGTCTAATGCCGTAATACACTCGCAATTCGATCATAGCAGCCATATGACCGGTCCAATTGTCAACATTATCATTCTGCCAAAATGAAGTTGATGTGAGCAACCCATAGTCAACTGTCTTGAGCAAATAAGAAGGCTTTTTTGTCAACCTCATCTTACGTTGACCCTTCACCTTCTTTTCCGCTCCAAGAAAGCATTATCTATCAAGATGCTAAGGATCTCTATGTACTTACTGAGGTCATTACGGCAGAAGAGGAGACGGTACATTCTTTCTCCACAAACAAACTTTTCATTCTTTCTGGACCACGTAAGATATCCTTCAACAACTTGGTTGCCTTGCAAGTTACATGCACTCTTTTCTGTGATAGCATCAACTCTTTCCCACTACAATCTGCATACAAGAGGAAATGCCAAAGTTTTAGGACATGTAGAAGGTGCACTGCGGCATTTATTTCATACGAAATCAACTTTCCTCAACATTAAAAACTGTGTGTGCATTAATGGTTCACCACACAACTTGGTACTGCAAGAAGCCTTCTCTCACATACTCGGGTGTGGTTGGCCATTAATTGTATAATTATGCTGTTAAGCAAAGGAAACATCAGAGATTTGACACTCACTTTCCCGGAAGGAGTTCCTCAAGGAGGTAAAATCTGACTTTAATAACATTTAGGAAAACAAATCCACAAGAATCCAATGCACAAATATACTGAACTACAGAAATCAGTTGTGATTTGTATAAAGAATACCTGCACCGAATAATACAGTGCGCTGTTTCAATCATCTTTGACGAAAATGCATGTTCACGTCTGTAAACGCTTGGCCGCTGCACAGGCAGCCTCAAGATCCCCAAGAAAGAAAAGGATTCTATCCGGAATCCCTGAGTGATGCTCTTCGACACCTTGTAGAGGCGCTACATCATCGCAACTTTCATTTCTGAGATTGCGCATGCCCAGGTATTTTTGGATTTCACCTTGATGGATGAGATAGTAATCATTACCTTCTGTGATGATCCTTAGGCCCCTGAGATGCAATACCCAATTGTTTTGTTCTGAATGAGCAAAGAAGCAGAGATTTGATGCTAACTGGTATAGAAAATCTACAATGCTATCGTCAAGCTACAAGCTCTAACATATGATGAAGTTAAAATTACTTTTCCAGACAAGTGCATGAAGTTTCCCCCTTGGGATGCTAAATTTTTAGTTGCTAAGACTTCTGACAATCTTAACCTTCAAGGAAAACCACTGCTTAAAAAGAATATCTTCTATGGGATGACCTTGATTGATGACCAGAATTGAATAAGAATAATATGCCAAAGGGAAAATACCAGAGAAAGCATAGTCCAATTCGAGTCTCTGCTGTAATAATTAACTACAGAATCCTCAATTTAAGGTGATTTGTTATAAGAAGGTTGCACTAATTGTCAATCTGGTCTGGAATTAGTGATTGTGCCAAAACAAGTCACTTGCTTGTGAGAATGTATTACTGTATTAGATCTGATCACTGTTGAGGCTATTAAGCATCTTTCGTACAGTATCTGATGAGCCAATCTTGTCTGATAGTAGTCCTAGTCATAACAATAAAGTTTGACAAGGTTATCTGTCCTAATTTAAGGACCACATTAAGAGACCAAAAAATAAATCTCTTCAATACGAAAAAGAAAGGTGGATTTCCTAAGAAAGTAATCCTCATCCTGAATAGCCCTTATTCATAACAATTAACATTGCTAAGATTACCTGTATTAATTTGAGGACCACATCTAAAGACTCTGAAGAGACCAAAACAAAACTTCTCTTCGATATCAAGAATGGCATGGACAGCAATTAGAAGGAAAGAAATGGGAACAGACACTCATATATCAAAAAGCATGTCCTTTTGATTCTCTTAGAAAGGTTCTTTGGGGCCAGACAATAAAATTTCACTCAAAGATAGATAATTTGAAACAGCAACCGCTTTAATGAGACAAGTTAGTAATGTCTAGTGAAGATTTCTTTTCTCCAAATTACAAAAAAATAGAAAATTACTAGTCAGTTACTTCCGTTTATTAGACTAAGCTAGTTGATTCTTTTCTGCTTGTGAAACCTAATACTGCATATCCCTATCAGTTATTTATGTTAATTTAACATTAACATCTAACCTGGTAGGGCAGCAAAACAAAATTCTATATAACCCAAATTTATGATCAATGAGCATCCATACACAATCATTTTTAAGAGTAACTCAGATATGCATTCTTTACATACAGAAAAATATTAGCTGAGGAATCTCCATCCCATGTTCCAATCAACCTATAATTATAAGTATGCTTATAATGGAGACAGAAGTTCAACTATTTTTCAGTAACAATAATAAGTTGTTAAGCTTATCTATGCAGTCTGTGTGCTAAAATACCTCAGTCACAAGGGATTCTTAGTTCAAACAAATCTTTCTTTGGTATTTCAAGGAAAATCTTTGTGCAACTCCACTAATCAGATAAAGCAATTGGCATTTTGGGTTCACTTTTTACATAATGCATCAGTTCCCTACTGATGTTTATACCTAGGTGAAATTTCCAAGCTGTGGAAATATACTCACTCTTATTGCAGAAAATCGGTAAGATAGCTATCTACGTAATGCAACTGACTTTAGTAATGAAACCAATTTTAGTTATCTTCTGATTATGTCCATGAGTAACATTGAGTTGATTAGATGTGTTATGTCCTTTAAATGCAGCATATTCCCATTGAAGCGATAACTTTGTCACAACTTACAGGCAAGTTTCCATACACCAGTAAATCTTGTTACTGGAGCTTTACTGAAGAAGATGTATAATACAGCTTTGACGCATAAAACACTAAGAAAACATATTGCATCTTGCAACATGCACTAATCTACTAATTTAAGTCTTTATTTGATCTGCACTACAACCATCCATAATAATTAAGTGTTGCTAAGTTTTAATCACAAAGTAATTCGATACCAAGCTACATATATCTATACGTATAGAAGAACTCTGAAGCAATGTTTCTTAAGGTGATTTATAATGTCAACTTCTGTTTGCAGATCCTTTTGAAGAAAAGGAGGACGACACAAGATGAGCCAAAAACTTACAGTCCAAACCGGTCACATCGGTGTTGCACTATGTATACATCCTTCCAGGATTTGGGATCACTTGGGGCGTAAAATGCTGCACAGTCTCCTCCCCATCTTTCCTTAAATAGGTTGGACCACAGTGCATCATCGGATGCCAATACCCTCCACTTTCTGCACACTAGATTTCAGCATGAATCAGTATTGAAAGCCTTTCGAAGGTAGATGTACCCACAGTGATTACAATACCAAATTTATAATACAATAACTTGTGTACTAATTTTCTGCCTTGCTCCAGGAAGCACTATGATCAGAAGGATAACTTCACATAAGCAAGCATACTATTTGGTGCCATAACATTCTATCACAGCAATTCTTAAGGATATGAACTGAAAGCTTCTATATACTTAGATAATTGAACGCCGAAAAAGAAGTGCTAAAAAATTGGATAATTAGTGAGCATGTCAAATTAAGCTGCCAGTGTATTAGTTTACAATACCTAAATGAACTAACACTCCTATCTGTCATTGCTATTTGTGATCCCAAAGCAAGTTCTTTTTGCGCCCAACGTGATCTACCAAGTACCAATTACACGTCTGATGAAGACATATATGAATTGCCGTGCAAACCTGTCCTTTTATCAACATCTAAAGTTGCTTGACACTTCTCATGAATCAAGAAACGTATTTCCAGTACAAGCTACACATATTTTACGATAATGTTTCTAATTGCATCGCGAACGGCATAAAGCTACAAAAAAGTGGAAGGCAATTTTGAAGAAACTGGCGTCGATTAGTGAGAATTCGGCAAGAACAAGAAACGCGAAGATCTGCTGCGAAAGGGTAAGAAGAGGCGGACCGATGGCAGACCTTGGGGAGCAGCAGCGAGAGATGTATGGTTCAACAGGTGGAAGATCTTGAGGCACAGCTCCCCCGGCAATCTCTCCATGCCCAAATCTCCTCTCGAGAATTCCCAAGCGAGAGCGAGAGAAGAGAGAGAGGATGATGATGCTTCGGCCGAACGCTAGCATTGCAGCCCACACCCTTCCGCCAGTCTCGTGATTGGATGCACCGACATGGGACCCAAAGGGCCGTGAGACGCGCAAGACCAACCACGTCATTCCACGTGTGCGCCGAATAAAGACGGATTTATTCTTAAATCAAAAGCATCCTCTAAATAGTCTAAATAAGCTGTAATTCCTCAAAAACACTAATTGAGAATTTGTCGAATTAAAAATAGTTTTGAAGATTTGATATATAAATATATATATTGAAGTAAAAAACGTAATTATAAATTCTAGATTGGACAAGTCGATCGGCGTCGTTCATTCCAAGTGTCCACCCTATTGCCTTTCATTCCAAGTTGACCCCCTTCTGCAGCGAGAAGACAGCTTTTGTTCTTTCTCCTGCAATTTGTGATTTGTTTCTGTACGTCGATACCGTCGGTTTCAGCAACTCTAAGCGAGAAGCAAAAGTGATCGCCTCCGATTGACACTCGCATCAAATCAGAAATGTTGTTGTACCTGTTACGTAAACACAATACAGCCGACCAACAGTAACCTATAGGAACTCAAAAAGTAATGGATAAGCCAATCTGACATGCTAATTTAGAAGCATAAAAGATCTCATCCACTGGCTCATAAATTATCTTCTGAAACCAAAGTTTGAGACACAGCTAATTATCCTGACCGATTCCTTTTTCTTAGTTAGCTCACCTAACTAAGAGATGAAATGAACATTCTTTTAGGCCACTTTTTTCTCGGAAAACATGTAGGTTTCATCACCAGTAGAAAATTCCAGATTGCTGCTCCGATTCATCTGTCTCATATCCATAATCATCAAGCAGCTTCGAACCCTCATGTTCGAAGCACTTGATCCTTGACGCCGATCTGACCACCTCATCGTCCACTTGAAGACCCAGGCAATCCTTCACGGTCAATCTTTCTAGCTTTCTGCAGCCATTTACGATCACCACCAACTCCTCCTTCGTCAAGTAGGATTTGCTCAGCTCCAAGTGGTTCAGGTCCGGAAGACAATCCACGATGGCCTTCGCGTCTTCCTTGCCGATCAGACCGCGCACCTTCAACCGGCCGAACCTGCTACAGTTACGGCCGATCACGGCGATCATCTCCAAGAAGGAGGAGGGCTTCGTCTCCATCTCGAGCTGCTCGAGGTCTCTCCATCGCCCGACGAGCTCCGGGATGAGCAGGTCGTCTTCTAGCATAAAGTTATCAGGCAAAGCCAGACGCTTCAACCTCGGGCATCTGATGATAGGTATGTAAATCGTAACAGACATCGCCGGAGACGAAGAAGACGAGATGGAGAGAGGCGGTCATACTCGGACTCACTTCATCGAGACGAAGGTCAGGTCTTGGATCGACGCGCCGAAGGACAAGGGGAAGAGGAGCTCCGCCGCGGAGCCGCGGCTGCGGGCGACCACGAACCTCATGAAGGCGGAGAAGGAAAGGCTGCTGAGGCGGTCGCAAGAGGTGAAGCTCCTGGAGAAGTGGCTCCACGGCATCAAGTCAAGCGACCGGAAGTCGAGGCGCCGCCAGCAGCCGGGATCGAGGGAGGCGCGCCGCCAGCACCTGCAGACGAAGGGCACCGAGAGGGTGAGGTCGTGGAGGCCGAGCCGCCGGAAGATGTCGACCAGGCAGTCCGCCGGCATCTCCTCCCACCTTCTTCCGCCCTCCATGTCGGGAGAGTCTTCGTTCAACGTTGGCCTTGGCGACTCGCTCTGCTTTGGGTTGATTGGATTATAAGCGCAAATCGGTTCGATTTCGAATTCGCCCGATTGAATCAGCACATTCTCGTGCCAATTTGGGTTTATGTTTTCGGACCGGTCCACTTGGAGGCTCGCGTTCGAAGGTCTCATCTACCACAGGCTGAGCAGTGACGGCTGTCCAAACTAGGCCGGTGCAATTATTAGAGTGGTACCAACAAATCGATCAGCGAGGGTTCGAATCGAAATATATCACCAGCCACCGACTCCCCCCACCTAAATTATGTCCTCCATTCTTTTTGAGTGAAAAGAAAGATAAAAAAGATATAAAGTTTGGTGAGAAAAGACGGCACATGTTCAAATAGTTCCATGGTTCCCTGTGGAGGGGTTGCATGACAGGCAATAATTATATGGAGTTTCTCAGATTATATGACAAAGAATAATGTTGATATCCTACGAGGATTCAATGTGTCATGAAAAATGCTGCATAATTAAGGTAAAATCAATTAAATGTGTGATACACAGTAACATTGTTTATTTCGATGAACAATAACTAAAGGTGAACTAAGTGAACATTTTGAGAGAACCTTAGCAAATAGAAAGAACAGAATAAAAGAGGACTCCGTGTTGATTAGGCTTGTTGAGTTCATCTTATTTGTTGCATAACAAAATCTAAAGCTGATAGACATGTAATGAACATAATCAACTTACTTGGGTATAGTGATCAGGCAATTGACAACAGCAGCAGGAGGACGTTGATCGGCCATCTGCTTCCATCTACCCAGTCTGACTATTACATATGTGGAACTGCAAGGCAGAATCATAGAGTCCAGAGAAGATTCATAGGCATCATCTACAAGAAAGGGAACAAGCAACGGAGAAGAACAGAGAAAGGGAAGGCGCCATGAAAGAAGACGACCTAAGGAACAAAAGAGAGAAAAATTACAAAGTTTATCGTGGAACACATAAGTCTGATTTAAATCAGAAAGCATTCTCATCCGGTAGGATAAAGTGGAGGTTTAATTAAGTTGACAAAAAGACCAGTCATCCAAAATCAAGCTGAAAACCTGAATTTTATAACCTCTAATGTGCCAAAGAATACTCCCTCAAAAGATTTAGCCATTCTGAAAACATCATCAGCTGAATATAAACAGCAAGTTGTTTATATTCCATTTTCTTCTAAATTGCTAATGGCATCAACTAGTTAGTGTAAGAATTATTTTCCTCCATCCCTTTGATATGACCGACCCTAATTAGTATACCACATTTCCAGATTGTGAAGTTGAATCATCGCTACATTTATATTTCATCATGTCAGTGTTTCTCTTCATGGCACAAACCAACTGTGTTTTAAAATGAAAATTAGGTGTCAGCATAGCAATTAAAATCTTAGACGAAGTAGATACCACGGTTAATTACTCAACATAGCTATTAAAATCCTATGAGCCAAAGAAGTGTATCATAAAAGACTGTAAAACAAGAAATTATAACATCTGACTAATTTTTGTGATTATCCACTTTGGTCAAATTCATTTTATCCTATGCGCAAAGATATATTTTTATTACCTTTTCTTTTTGAATAGTCCATCATATTATTGCAATAACTGAAATATAGTAGTTCATGTCATTTCCTGGTACTGTCTCAAAGTTGCCAAAAAAAGTAAATGATGTAGGATTTAATGCATGAGCAAGAAGAAAATCAAAAGATGAAAGAGTAAAGACTAGCATACGAATTGGAACATGAAAAAGTTACATGCCAAAAAAAATGTAACTTAGCTACAAATGTTAGAAAAAAATCCTTGGAAGTCATGAGAAGTTTCTAATGTGCCTCAAGGTGGGCTTAGATGTGAGGGAATCTATAAAAGGAATTATGTTTTGCCGGTGACAATTCCATGATAAGATATGTCAATACAATGTTAAAGTAAAACTGAAAAAATGATGCCAAGATGGCATGGTGGTGCTTTGTGTCTCTGAACTAATTAATGTTGAAGGACAACAATAAAATTTCCAGTTTAGCAAAAGATATGATTGTTCTTCATAATATTTTACATAAACAAAGAACAATGTCACTCTGATTACCTCCAAACTCCGAAACAAGTAACAGTGAAAAGAAAATTTCTATGCATTTTTCAGGACAATGCTTCCACCACCTACATATGAAAAATATACCTAGAATTCCTGTTAAACCAAATGAGCAAACAAATTACAATCAGTTCTAGTTATAAACACAAAAATAACTTTCGAGCAGCTCGACAATGGTGCCAATCCATAGAATGCATTCATTCAATAGGAAAAAGAAAAAAAGAGTCGATCCAACTTCACCAAGCAGAACCAATGGATCTTTTTATACTTCACGAGAAAGTAATGCCAAAAAAGTATAATCAACAACATCCTGAACTCATGGATGACAAGATCAGACAAGGAGCATGACAACATCTAATAGCCAAAGGAAAATCTTTGATCACAAAAAGAATACGGAAGACATTAGCAGGATTCTGACACACAAATGCAAGATCCAAGCAGCTAATGCTCTAATTGTACTTTACCACAAACAAGTAGCACAGGATTAACTTGACAAGCTCCTGATTCATGCAAGCAAAAATCCATAATATGTAAAACTTATCACTTGCGATCCTACATCAACTCAATTGTTTCTAATAAGCTTATTGCAATAATCTTTCTGACCCTCCGGTCATTCCACCAAACGCGTTAAGGTCAAAATTTGGTATATCGATAACATAGACTTATCCGAAAGGACAAAAGAGAGGGAGAGATCGAACCCTAGATGGGCACGTATCTCCTCAAGACCTGCTTCCCCGCTACAGCAGCTCCAACCATGAGCCCGCCGATGGCGCCAGCGACGGCCGCTGACCGCGGCCCGTTGGCGGCCTTGAATACGGCACCGGTACCGAGCCCGGCGACGACGCTGTTGACCCAGTCGTCCGTATCCCTCGCGGCAACCATCCCGCTCTCAAGCCCGGCGTACAAGAGGCCGATGACGCCGACGCGGTTACCGATCCGGCGGCCATTCTGGCCGCAAGAGTTAAGGACGCGGTTGAGCCGGATCTTGAGGGTGTCCCCAGGCTCAGCGGAGCGGAGAGCGCCGCGCAGGCCGAGCGAAGCGCCGGCAGCGGCGCCGGTGAGGTACCCGATGCCGGTGTAGTAGGTGAGGTTCTCGCCCCAGGAGCGGCGCTGGGCGACGGACTCCTCCTGGAAGAGGAACTCCGGCGAGGTGGGGAGGTCGTAGAGGGTTCGGTAGGGGATCTGCAATTCGTGGTAGGGGCTGTAAAGCCGCCGCCCGCCCGAACCCTGGCGATGATCGGCGTCGTCTCCTCCGTACGTCCTCGGATCGGCCATCTGCGATCTTCTTATCTCTAGGGTTGCGGTGGATCTCTAGATAGTGGTGGTGGAGGAGGAGCTGCCGACGCCGCCGCCGGGGGTAAGGGTCGCAGACGAAGGCGGCGCGAATGGAGAGGGCTTCGGCAATTCTATCGAGGGTTTTTTTGTATGCCCTCAGAAATATCCGGGCTGTTTCGTGGGTCCCGCCGGAATCAGGAAGGAATCTTCTGGGTTGCGGTGTTTGCACGCGCGTATTGTCGCTTGTATTATTTATTTATTTATTTATTTTTTGAACAAAAATTGGAGCCTAAGTCTAACTGATATATATATATATATATATATATATATATATATATATATATATATATATATATATATATATATATTATACAATGATTTTTCCTAAAAAGTTGGCTCTTTTTATCTATTCGATTCAATTTAAATTAGATTCGGAAATTTGTAATTAAGTTTGAGATAAAATAGTTAATATTCGTTGGATTTAAATATAAAATATGGATAGTCAAATTAGATCTTTAAATATAGGAAAATTTATTATCAAAGGGATATCAAAATATAAAAGAAAAATCATAATATAAAAGAAATTAATAATGGGTGTTTTTTCGGAGCGTGAAAGGGAAGCCGATACGGAAGATAGATTAGGTACAAAGATTCGATGTTGCGAGCATATATATTGATAGCCAAAAGTATCCCCGTTTCTTGTGGTATTCTTGCCCTCAAGTCGGCGACGCTGTTGGCTTGGCCTGAGAACTGCAGAGATTGATGGAGTTCTGCCCGATGTGTGGGAACCTGTTGCAGATCGAGCCGGCGGGGAGCGGGCGGAGGCTGCGCTTCTTTTGCCCCACCTGCCCTTACGTCTGCCCCGTCACCAACAAGGTGGCTCCTTTTCCGCATCATCTGCTGTCTCACTTCTTGTTTGTTATAACCCTGTCCATGCTCGCATTGTGTTTGTTGATTGGTGTTGACCCACTCTCTTTTTTTTCTTCCACCGTCCAGATCGTCAAGAAGCAGCATTTGGCGAAGAAAGAGTTGGAGACCATCTTCAGCGGAGCCGACGCCATGAAGTTTGCCCCCAAAACCGCAAGTATGTCATCTCTTTCACCCTTTTGCTATCACTTGCTTATTCTTCTCGGTTCTCGTTTCTTTTGGAACCCACTCAAGCAAAAACAAAAAAACAAAACAAAACAAAACAAAAAACGCAAAAGGAAAACAGAAATAAGAGACGAATCACAATAGCAGAAGTTATAGATTTCTTATGTGGAGGATTTTCGCACGAAAAGAGACCTGATAGGTGGAATGATTTTTTGCATTTTACTTGCTTGCTAAAATGCCGATGACAAGGTCTGAACAAACGGATTCTTTCAGCGTATGTAACAACACGTGGACAAACAACACTTTCTGTTAATGCCTGGTATAATATGCGTCAAAGCATGTCTTTGATCTACCTAAAGTACCAGCAATGAACATACATTGGTTGGAGTAATTTAATAATGATCTCTGATGGATGGATATAACTATGGGTTCTATTGGACTATAGGTACTTTCACATCCAATTGTAATCTGCATGTTAGGTATAGCATTTGACACTGTTCTGTTTCAAGCTCGAAACCAGGGAACCACTCTGTTGTGCCCATAGGAAAATCTATTGGTTCAAAGTTTAGATGATAAATAAGTTCATCCTTGCCCTTCTGTAATTAGCATGAAATAGTCTACTAAGTTGTAGGTTGGCACCCTTGAAAAGAGTACCAATCTTACATGTCTGTAATTAACATTACATGGTGAAACCTATCTGTTTTCTGTTTTCTTATAGCGGGCACTTTTTTACTTTTAGCACCACTATTTTTGAGTTCCAACTAATTCGGGGGTAAAATGCATCTCTTTTCACAACAAAACACCTAGAACCTATTCCAATTGTTAGGCAATGCCACTTATGGTTTGTAATACCTAGACTGCCATATTTCAGTATTTTATTTGTGTATTTGATAATATATTACAGCCTTGATCATGAAGCAAAATTCAAAGTTAACATTCTTCATGGCCATGTCAGAAATTCTGTATATTATGTTACTAACTTATTTATTCAAACGCGTAATCTACAAGCACAGCAACATGCCAGCCATAAGCATCGATTATCTGGAATGTGCTTTTCCCACATTGAAGTTTGTTGATGTCAATGTAATTAGTCAAATTAAGAACCATTGTATCCTTTTCTATTGCCTCAATAAAGTCAATTTTTGTCTTCCTCTACGTCTTCCCAGAGCTGCTAATCGGGAAAGATAGAATACACATAAGTTGATTATAAATTTGTCCTTATAACTTGAAAGCATTAAATGATAAAAATGTGCACTCATGGATCTTTTATACTTTCTCCTGCAGCAACCTGTCCAAGATGTCACAATGGAGAGGCATTCTTCAGACAAATGCAAATTCGATCCGCTGATGAACCAATGACAACATTTTACAAGTGCTGCAATGATAATTGTCAACATGAATGGCGAGATGACTGATATACCAAACGTGACTATATCCAATGCCATCTAAGAGTGAAATTCCATGCATTTTTCTGGTTATCTATACTGTCTTATTAGATTATGGAGCTGACTCCAAGACAAGATATGAAAATCCAAAATATTAATACTAGGCATTTGTCAATTGAACTTATAATTTGAGTGGACGTTTACTTGATTGTGTCTCATAACTGTTTTTGAAAGTACAATTTGTCAAGACCTAAGGCAACCTCCTCATTATACCACTTAAAAAGTTTGTGTCGATTTGGTTTGTTCTTGTTCCTGATCAGATTAGAGGCTACTATGTTGGTACCAGCAACTGGAGTTGCTGCTATGAAAGAAATTTTTTGTGTGATCCTGTTAAAAGATGAGAAAATTTTGTGCTTGCTATGATGATCAACCGATACACCTTTTGGTTGTGGCATACTTTTGAAAGTGCATTTGCACTTAGATGGTATATTTGAACTTTTAAGGTCAATTGTCCAATACAGCAGATGGCAAATTCTACTTTGATGGAAGATTTTTCGAAAATTTCAAACATTTTTTTTATATTGAGCTTTTAAGGCCAGCCTCATAACTTAGATACTTTAATATTTCATTCACTCTCAGTAACATCTTGTAAATCTTCATATAGTATCAGTAACATCTTGTAAATCTTCAAACTTGTCTTACTTTGTAATATTTCATCTACTATTGATCGATGGATGAATTATAATCCTATTTTATCTTTGCAATTGTTTCCAGGCTATTGAAACTTATTTGCCTATAAGTTTTATGAAACTGTTTTTTAGGAGTTCATTGCTTCTGATGAAAACAAGAAGAATACCTGATAAGCAAAACATAATATGAGACTCACAGATGCAACATGATGTGTAGATAATTTAAGATTCAAAGGTAATCACAAGTGATGTGTTGAGGGAGACGAAAACTACCCACTCTTTACATGTGATGTAGCTTATGAATTAGCAGAACTAATACTTTTACCCTTCAAATCATCAATCTGGTTTCATGTATAAAACTTGCATGAGGCATCTTCCTCTTGATTCATCATAGCTATTTCTTTCCATGTTGCTAAGAAGCTATGGTGCTCATCTCTCAAAAAAATTAAATGAAAGAATTTAAAGTGATGATAAAACTAGAATGGCAGAGTTAATCTGCTGAGGAGGCACAATGAGGATTGGCATAGTACATTATCTGAGAAATTTTGTATTATTTTTCATGATTCATCTTACTATTATTTTTCATAATTCATCTTACCGATGCATATTGATATATCGATTAATTGTCGATGTGGTACGTATTGACATATCAATATTATCGTCCATATTGATTCCTATCAGATTGGTACATATCGCTCGTATCGAATAATACATCATGATATGATGAATCTTATTATTTTTACCTTTGTGGTGCTCATAGATCTATACCAATATTCTAATGATAGTGAGATATTAATTCAATCATAAATTGTTTCTTTAAGTCTTTTGGATGATGTATAAAATTTCTATCTTTAGTTTGTATTAAATATAATTTTCCTGATTTTAATCGATCCAATTTAACCATTTCCAAGTGTCTTTTTTTTCCCAACATATTGGAGATATAATCAATTCTTCAGCTATCCCGCATGGGGAAAAGCCGCAATGTTTGCATAGAGAGGCCAAGGCAGGTTGAGGGTGTAATCATAGGAGGCAAAAGTGAGGATTATGTTAGTGTGTGCAGGAATCATAAGATGAGAAGCTTCTCCCTGAGCACACATGAGCTGCTGGTTTCCAGCTTTCACGCCACCGTAGGCACTCTTCCGCCACCATCTCATGCTCTCAAGCGGAAGAGGAAGGACGTAGAGTGGTGTGGTGTGCTCTCATGGCCAAGAGAATGTTGGTTGGGATGATGAGACTCTTGACTTCTCATAATGATGGGAAGACAAAGGCTGCAGATTTAGCTGCACACCATAAAGTCAACCCCATGAGAAATTTTACATGCATAATAAATACTACATCCATTCCCTTCTCCAACAAAATGGCACAACGAAGTCAACAAAGACCTACTTGTCAAGGCAAGCTGGAATGAAGCTTCAGATATCCACAGTGATGAGGATGTATAAGAGAAGTAAACCAGTTGAAAGGAGTGAATGAAGAAAGCTGGACACGATGTGCCATGAACACTACTACCACTACCATGAGCCTCCTCCTCCTCCTCCTCCGATGATACCGTGCCAAAAACCAGGAGGATCACTTCCTTGTTCCTTGTTCTGATGGAACTGATCGGAAACATTGATTGATGGGACTACTGGCCTCAGGTCCTCGAAAGGAAACAGCAGCTTACCACTAGCGTTCGCCTGGATTCCGGGCAAGCTCCTGTACCCAGCAATTCCATCCAAAGGAAAAGTGAGAGTAGGTGGTCTGAGTTGTTGCAATCCGAATCCGGATGGGTATTCGGGCATGAAAGGGCCAAGGTGGTTTCTTGCTTCCATCTCACTCTTCAGTAGCTCCATGGTAGAGAGAGGAGCGACAGTGGCAAAGGTATTGCCAGGGTGGCTATGTTGGTGGAGGTCCTGCCGGGCCTCATGAAACTTTGGAGCTTCGGGGCTGGTGGAGAGGGATGCAGATGGAGGGATGAACAGAGTTGAGGCGGTAGGTAACGCTGCTGCTGCTGCTGCGTAGGAGGAGGAGGAGGAGGAGGAGGATTTCGTGGTGGTGGAGGAGATCAGGGAGGATTTCTTGTTCTTTCTTGAGCCACCACCCACCGGGACATTCCTGAGGGATCCGCCATCGGTCCAATACCTCCGGCAACTCTTGCAGAAGTACCGGGGCTGCGTGAGGCTGTAGTTGTTGTAGTAGCAGAACTTGGTGTTGGTGGAGCTGCACCGGGGGCAGCCCAGAGCCTGCTCCTTGTGCGGCCTTGGCCTCCTCTCCATCTCCTGTGACCTGGCAGTGGTGCATGTGTTGCCTCCCGCGGTGGTTGTGATGGAGGACGCGGACTCCTCCATGGGCTTCATCAGCCCTATGCCCTGGACAGCACCGGCAACGGCAAATCACCATGGGGCAAACTCAATTAGAGGAGAACGAAACGATCACTTGAGAACTGTCACCAAACAGAAGCTTCCGAATGAAAGGGAAAAAGAAGAGGAAAGAGAAACCACACGGTTTGGACAAGAACAAAGCAAGGCTGACACTTTTTCATGTCACTGCTTTGCTGCATACGATAAAAGGAAAGCAAGAAGACACAGATAAAGGAAGCAGAGAAAGCGGTTTGCTGCTTTCAAGAGTAAAGGTGGTGGGGGTGACAGGCTTAATAGCTCAAGGCCAAAGGATGAGAGAGAGAGAGAGAGAGAGAGAGAGAGAGAGAAGTAAAGAAGGTGCACTGAGCATGCAGATCCACAAAGATCAATAGATAGAAACACAAGATGAAGCTCATCAAGGTCTGGAGCAGCTTTACCTGAGGCCACTGGGTAGCGTCCATCCAAAGAACAGCAGGAAGGAGACGAGGAAGAGAGCGCTTTCCACAGGAACGGACTGCCTTAGAGATGAGGAGAGGATGATTCCTTTCTGCAACACCAACCCATTCTTTAATGCCGAGATCTGTATTCGAGGGAGGGAATGTGTGCAGGTGCAGCACACGTGTGGGGAGGGCCCTGATTTGGCCCCAGTTTGTGCGCATGAAGAAAACAGAGAAGGTGGACGGTGAACATAAAGGCCACTGTGGAGGGGGGAATGTGAATTATGATACTTTAAGCTCGTGCACTCCCACTCCCATTGAGGTTTGGAGATGGATCAACCTGCCATGGTCCGGATTAGATGACAGTGGGGCAGCGAGGTGTGATGTGATACTTCTACCTATGATGGCAAATTAATGTGCCTCTCTCTCTCTCTCTCTCTCTCTCTCTCTCTCGGTAGGCAGAGGTTCTCGGAATGGGACAGCTAGGCCGCCGACTGCAAGTGTTGCACACAGAGATGGTTGGAGGAGAGGATGCAGAGAACGGATGCGCTCCGCCCATCTCTGGTCTTCTGCAGAACGTATTCTTAATGGCTTCTCTCTCTATCAATCTTTTATAGTTATAATGATCGTTTGAACCTAATAGTTATAATTTAATAAAATAATAATCAAAATTTCTATCTTCATAAGTTTTATCGAACCAAGGTTACGGATATATTGATCTTACAAAAAAAATTTCAAGACTAATTAGGTCGATGATAGAGTTAATTATATATAGTTAAACATCTCGATCTCTAGACTTAAAAAATTTATATTAAAATCTCTATAATTATGAAAGTGAAACATATAAGTCCATTTACCTTGATGTCGTCGATATTATCGATGGAGGCATAAAAATAATGAGCAAAAAAATAATTTTAATATTTCAACAATGTTTTCAGTGGCAACGGACGATGACACTGTTGAGACCCATGAGTGACTATTGTGGATAAAGAATGAAAGCAATGATAAGAGGTGAGACAAAAGGAGAGGAGGAACAGGACGATGTAGATGATGATGCTTTGCATTTGCGTTGACGTTGCTTAGCAACTACATTAGTATCGACGCAGATGTAAAGTGACGAAAGAGTCGCTCGACATCTGTATCAATACTGACGTAGATGTAGACATAGAACATAGCTCAACATCGGCAATGGTGTTAACAACAGATGCAAAGTAACGTTGCTCTATATTTGCATCGACACCACAACTGCAGGGAAGGGTGACACCACTATGCATTTGCGTCGATGCTAATGTAGATGTTGATGCTCTGCATTTGTGTCAACGCAATTCAACAACTGTGTCGATGCTAATACAGATGCAAAACAATAAAAGAGATGCTCGACATCTGCATTGGCATCAACGTAGATACAAATGCATAATGTCCCTCGACATTGCATCGACGCCAGCGCAAATGCAGAACATCACTTAGGCATTTGCATTAACAGCAATGTAGATGCATATCCAAAATGATGTTGCTCTACATCTACGTCGACACAAATACAGTACATGAATATATGCAACGTCCTCTTCCTCCTCTCCCTTTACCTCATCTCTTATCGTTGTTATCCCTCCTCATCCACAACAATCGTCCACAACCCCTAATAACACCATCGTTTGTCACTATCAAAAACATAATTAAAATATTAAAATAATCCTTTTGTCTATCATTTTCATGTTTTCGTCGATAACATCGACGATATCAAGATAAATAAACTTAGATATTTCAATTTCATACCTATAGAGATTCTAATATAAATTTTTTAAATCTAAAAATTGAGATATTAAATATATCTAACTACTAAAGATAATATATAATTAACCCATCGATGACATATGTAACTAACAATGATAACTATTCTATTTATGAAGTGCTAATCATCATTACAATCTATTCAAACATCTCATAGTTTGATCACCTCCACCACCACCATGGTGGGAAGAATCAGTCAAACAACTCCACCCCTGCTTAGACATTGCTTGTCCATCCAACAGGAGTTCAAATCACAACATGGATATCTCCTGGACACCACATTAAATTACTCATTGCCAAAACCTGATCCAAGCAACAAGAGAAAAGGTCTTCTTCATGTCCTCCTCAGAATCTATTCCGTATAAAAAGCAGTACTGGATCGTCTTTCATCGACCACTATGTCAATATACTTTCTGAGTCTGATGAATCCCAGCCGTGTTGTCTTTTGCTTTTGCATCTGAAATCATAGCTACCCATACATTTAAAGTGCAAATCATATAGACAAATCGCAAATTTAGCTTACCAAACAAACCTTTATGTAAAATATGAAGTCTTCAAACCAGGGACAACTATGTTTCAACCAGAGTTGACCTGCCCTTCCCCATCTTCTGTCACTTTCTTCCACCCCACCACTTGAATCTGCTCCCCCTGTTAATTTCTCACCTAACATGCTTTCCACCGTGAAGAGAGGAGCCGCCTACAGGTTCATATCTGATGCACAATGCTAATGGACATGGTTGGTGGAGCCAAGACTTTTGAAACAGCAGCAGAGTTCCAACCAGACAACAGCAGCAAACAAATGAAGATATGCACATTAACATCTTGATATACTGTTGAAGCTTTGTGATTATTTGCAGAATGTGAACTAGCGATTGTGCTAGTAAGTAAAATTTCATGTACTATTTACACTCCAAGCAAAATTTGAGGAAAAAAAGACAATAGAATGAAATAAATGGAATATAACTCAGATTTATCAGTATGTTTGAAATCTATCCAAACAAGAGTACCATACAATTGAGTCACCAGAGTTTGATATGTGCAACCTAGGAAGAGCTTAATATGAACACTTTGCTAAAGAGCAAACAGTCTCCAACTTGGACTGTTGGAAAGCAACAAGTAAAAGAAGTTGAACCAGTGTTTCAGAAGCACCTTTAAACATTCACCATCAAAGTGGAGAAGATTAACCAATAAGTTCATCTGATACAAAAAGCTAATGGACATGGTTGGTGGAGCCAAGACTTCTCCCCCTGACCCTCTTTGTTCCAATCAGACAACAACAACAACAGCAAACATATAGAGATAAGCAAATTAAAAACTAACTTGCTACTAACTTTGGCCCTTTCCATTCTTTTCCGATATATAAATTAAAACCTAACTTGCTACAACTTTGGAACTAGCTGATTCATTGCAAATGTTCATGCACTGTTAACTCGAGCAAAATTCGAGGAAAAAGGCAATGAAGTGAAATGAATGGAACATACCTCATATTAACCAATTCACTCACCGAAGAGTTCAATATATACGTAACATAAAGAGTGTAACAAGCACACTTTGCTAAAAAGTCAACAATTTCCAACTTGGACTTGAGATTGCTAACAATGCAGAAAAGAAGATCAAGTGTCGCACAAGCACCTTTAAACCTTTAAGATTCATCAATACTGTACACAATAAGATTCTGACAATAAAGCGGCACTTGAATAAGCCTTGTGCAGTAAAAAGGCAGCAAACTGGTAAGTGGTAATCCTCTGCCTCAAAGAGCACTCCTCCCCTACCCCTTTTCCTCCATCTGCAATGAATTGAGAAGAAGCATCCTGGATTCACTTTTTGGAACAGATTGAACGACCAAACTAGTCGAGTCTGATTTGATCAACTCTGGTCAGAGAATAGGATGGGTCGGTATATAATTTACATAAAACCAGTTAGACAGAGGCAAAAATATCATCACTTATCCCCACCCCACCCCATTCTCATTCACCTCACCAAATAAAGATACCATCCCATTCTCATTCACCTCACCAAATAAAGATATCATCCCACTAAGAATATTGCCTCCTACAAAGCTGCTTATGACTAGTTGACCCCAAATATTATGACTTATTATGACTGTTGTCGTTTGCTTGTATGTTATAAATATAAAGATGTTAATGACATAACATATGGTCACAGATATTATTCATCTCAGGACACTATAAGAAGACACCAATACAATCAATATACTGATGATATAGCATTGCCCTTGGTATTCTTAATCAAGGACACAGTAGGAACTAAGTAGAATTGAATGACATGAACAGAAACTGTTTGAGTAATACTCATCCTGCCCCACCATGTTATCATCCCTAGTCACATGATTTCCTTAGTCTGCTCCATATATATATATATATATATATATATATATATATATATATATATATATATATATATATATATATATATATATATATATATATATATATATATATATATA